CCCGGCATGGTCTAAGCCATGTAGCAGGTCAAGGGGAGGACCAGCATGGGTCCCCAGTGCTCCCTCACCTGCTCGTGGGCTGAGCTCCCAGGGCTGACGCAGATTTTTCCCAGTGGTTGGCACTGCTAGGTCTGCATTTTTTCCTTGTAACTTCACAGGCCCTCCGTGGACTAATCTCCGGCTTTTAATTTCTTGCCATGGCTTGCTGCATTTTCTTTCAGTAAATGTTTTCAAATGATTTCGTGAAGTCATGGTTTTGGCTCATTGCAGCTGCTGGTTTTGGCTGTGATGCTGCTGAGAGGGTTAGCTGAGGTCAGATAGAGCCTCGCTTGAGTTTGCTGCTTGGCAAACTGGTGGGTTTGCCCCACCAGAGACCCAGTCTGTGGGTGCTCTCAAGGGTCTCTTTATACTGGGAATGGGATAATTCCCCATGGTTGGATATGATCAGAGAGCAATGGCTTGATGGCTCGGTTGAAGTTTAAGATTGATAGTCTTGCTATTGGTTTTGCTGGGAGACATCTTGGATTTGGGTGATGACATGTTTCTTTTTGCACAGGAACATTTCTGTTTTGGCTTGTTGTTGTTACTGTTGATTTTTTTTCCTCTGTGTTTCTTTACTGAGCTCAGTGTGCCAGGGGTTGAGACTCATGCTGGATTCTGGATTATCACACAAAACTAGAGATGCTCAATAAACATTAGCAGGTGACACTTTGCCACGAAAAACTTTCTGCTGAACATCTCTCATCACCTGCAAAAACATTGGAGGGTTGTACTTGGAAGGACATTTAGGGCTATCCAACATGTGAAGCAGGAGTCCAACTCTGGCCTTCCGTGGATGCCAGGAACAGCCAGCACTTTGTAAGACATCTTCCATCTGTTTCTGAATGCCACCAAAGGGTGAAAGATCAGCTGCACTTCCGAAAAGCTTGCCCCTGCGCAGCCTGCCTTCGTGCGGGGGGCAGCGTCTGTGTACTCTGGGCACTCAGCTTTATGCCTCCATCTGCAGAAGTGCCTCTTACATGGTCTGAGACGTTGGGTATGGGCTCCAGCTACTTATTTCAGAGATGAAGGCTGCGCTTGTAATTAAGTTCCTCAGAAATCTCAAGTTCTTTGTTTGCTTTGCTAGAAGCGCCATCAGATAGCAGAGGCGGCATAAGACAGGCCATCACCAGAGAAATGTCAGTACTGCCTGAGGCAGAGAGAGAAAGATTCATGGGCTTTTGAACCTCAAACCAGGACAGAAGTCATTATAGTCTTTTGGGTTTTTTTCCTGACATACTGGACAACACAAAATAAACCTTCATCTACTTCTTTCTCAGTGCAGTAATTTCTGGTAAATTCAAATAATGTTTGAGAGGATTATTTGTTCATTTTAGTGGAAACTGGCTTCAAAAATTTCATCCTTTAATTTTATATCTGTTACAGTAAGGCAGGTAACTGTTCCAGTGCAAAGCATCAGTACTGTCTCTGTTGGAGTCACAGTTTGCACACCTGCTTTTCAGCCCAATTGTCAAATATAGACTGAACCCACTTTCCAGAGAAAACACCCCACCTTCACCAGGCTGTGACGGACTGGATGTTTCCACAATTCACCAGGAGATTTCACGTAAGGGAAGAACAGCAATGGCCAATCTCTCATCTTCTGTCACTGCTGGGTGCAGAGGCGTGTGTACATCCACAGGCTGAGTAACCTGCAGGGATGCTGTGGCTGCCCAGAACAGAGGAAAGTATGTCATGTACTGCATGATGGTGTTTAAAGAAAACAGTTTCAGTGCCAGTTCCCAAGCACTGATACAATTGAGAGGTCTCAGCACAGCGTACAATATGTTTATCAGGGACGTAAGCTACCATCCTTTGAAATGATATCCCACCCTTTTGTTGGAGCAGGTCGGTATGAGTTTGACTGCCATGAAAGGGATGCCCCTTCATGCTGTGTTGATACTGTTTTTAGTGTGCGTGACTTATATTCTCTTTCAAGGTCCTGCTAGCCTGCGTTGGGGAGTTGCAGTATTTGGGAAACAAGCTTAGAGAAACCTGTCCAGAGTGCTTTATGGTGCTGGTGGATCTCTCCAGCCCTTGGTACCCTTGTCCTTCAAAGCCCTGTTTTTACAGAGCAAGAGAGGCAGCAGCACTGAGCTGACAGCTGGGGAAGGTGCCGTTTGATCAGGTGTCCCGTAGGTCAGCTCACTCCTGTCAAAGGCAAGGATTAATTCAGAGGGGTTTTGTGGCAGCCTGGCATCACTCTTAAGCAGCCAGCAAGGCGGATGTGTTCCAGCAGTGGGTGAATTTAAAGCCTTCACTTTCCTCCTGCCCCCTTTGGACACCAAACATGGGGTAGATGGTCCCTAGAGTTACCCAACTGAGGTTTCTCAATCTGCAGGTCCAATGCACAAATCAGAGCTAGCCAGTCAAATCTGAAGAGTCATTTTGTTTTGAATGTTAGTTTTTGCTTTTTCAGAGCTCAACACAGCCCACCTCAAGGGATGGCCCATGGCTAATCCACATTGTCCTAACAGAAAGGGTGTTTTAAGCTGCCAGGAATGCATTTACTTTGGCTTTCAGCTTGTTGCATCAGATGCCTTCACTTGGTGCAGTTTTGGCATCGTCTGGAATAAAGCACGTAACTAGGAATGTAAACACACTTTTATATCCCAGGGCTCTGAACTGGTCTGGGAATGGGCAGTCCAGTTTAGGTTTTGGTCTTATATGGTTGAGCATGAATGGGAACCCAAGCAAAGCATGTTACCAGCCCTTTTCAGAGATTATTTGCTTTCATGATTTCTTTTTTCCTCTCCACATTTAGCAGAAGCTTCCTGGTGTAATGGAGGAGGTGGCAGGCCAGGAGGCAGGAGAGTGGACTTATTCCCAGCTCTCCTTCTCTCCTCTGTCATGTCTTTTTGGACTGTTTCGGTCTATACCACTCCCAGCACCAGTGAGCTCTGATCTTGTTTGAGCTTTCTAGGTGTTCCAGCAATGCAAATAGGAGCTAGGGAGGTGCAGATATCCATCTGTGGGGACAAAGAAGCTGGGCAGGGAATTATTAGAGAAAGATGGGTTTGCCAGGAGATTTCTGGCCTGTTTTGCAAACCAAAGTAGTTTAGTTTAAAGACTTTCAAAGGCTTGTCTGAACCAGGTCTCTGAGAGCTTTTGGCTTGACCCATTTCTGGTTTGGAAACCAAGCTGTTGTCTAGGGATCAGTATCCCACAGAAATTTTGGGGCAGAGTCTCCTGGGAAACAAACTGTGTTTGGGTTCTGCTGGTAGAAAGGGAGAAAAACAGGTTGAAAGGGTTGGGGAGATGGAGAAGTTGTGCTTGTCCTTGGGCCTGACCCTGGAAATGCTGCATAACTGAGGGCTGAAGAGTCCAGAGAGGCATGGGAAGATCCCAGCTTCAGAAAGCCACGTTGGCTTTGCTCCTGTCCTGGTGACTGCTCTTAAAAACCTGGATGCACTCAGCAGCTCTTTCTACTGACGATTTGGGGT